GACCGCACTCCACAGGCAACAGCCGAAAGCGCTGCCATTGCCACCTTGCCACCTTCTGGACAACATATTCCTTGGCACATGCTTCTTGAAACGTTCGTACACATTTAGTGTTTATGTAAGGACATAAGGATGGTCATGACCCTAGTAGTGTAGCTACTCAGCTACTCCACGTCCCTTCTTCTGCCAGTGGCGTCTTTGGAAAAACATGGAAAAACTAACTCAGCCACTTGAATCATTTGGCTCGTCTGCATGTCGCAAAGTATGTCAGGTGGCAAGATTCAAGCAAAGGATTTCATATTGAAATGTGACATAATAATCAAAAAGAAGCAGCTTCATATTGCGACTTTGCGCGCCACAAGGAAGTCGCAGGAAGAAAACTTGCGGTGCTATCAATGAAAGTTCGCTCTTGAACCAAAATGGGAATACAAGTTCCGAAACCTTTGCCAATTAAGCACTGGTGGAGTGTTTGAATTAAGCTATCTGCGACAGAACGTTGCCCACGCTGAGGAATTCAGAAACACAACAACAGGCATGCCCAGCTTCACTCACAACACCAGCTGCATGGAAAGCCCACGCCGAATCACAGCTACAATATGGTGTTTGCACATTTGAGTGCAGCTGCATAGCGTGCATCTCATTTTATTTATTGCCCCTCCAAATATTTCGCTCATAAGCATCAAGTTGGGTAACGCAGCCCTAAGAAAAAACACATACCATCTCAAAGGTAATGTTTGTATAATTTTGAATTGTACCTATAGACCTTTAGACCTTAAACAAAGGGGCTTGTTGTGAGATGCAAAAATTAGTGTAAAATCAAACTATATATATATATATATTAATCAATTAATCCACAAGTTAAAGTCAATCAGAAGTTATCAATGATGAAGGCATCAATTTGAACACTCTGACTCTGATTTTGATAGTCTTCTAGTTATGCCTTGGATTGCCTTGGTAAGACTAATTCCTGTTTGTATCTAAAACCATTGGTCAAGTTCTGGTTATCAAATGCCATCCTTAATCTTAAAGTGTCCGTGAGTATAACTTCCTTCAACATCACATTGTCCTGCATCACCCTCATACGTATAAGCATTCCACCTGATTAGTTTATCGTCCCGCTGTTCTTTTTCTGATTCCTCTGTGTATGCATCAATCATTTCGAATAATTCCTCAACATCATAAAACCCACCCTACCCTGCCTCCCATCAGATTGATAGTACACGGCTTTTCCAACATCCCTACATTAACATGTGCAATCATTTTTTGCCTGTGTATCCTCATGTCATGCGGTTTGCCTGACATGTTGGTGTTTCAATGCTGTTTGTCTGAAATGTTTTTTTTGGTAAACAAGTTAACATTATCCGCAAATTCTCTTGAACACATATCATACATTAATTGGCTGTGTTTTTTTAACCGTCAAAACAGTTTCATTATATAACTACCCGCAGCAAGAACAAACATGATTCTCCTAGCTAATATATAATTGTAGGCTCTCCATGCATCAAAATCATTGAAGATGGGTATTTTTATTGTTTCCCCTAAACAGTGAGTGTAAGCCTTGTTCTTGTCTATTTCCAAGTGCGCCCCCTGTTATAAAGAAAGATATGAAACTTTCCAGCGGGTGGGTTGTTCTACACTAGGCAAGGATTTCAATATCAACTTCAATGATATGTATAATAAGAATGATGGAACGGATTAGCAGCTTTGGTTGAACATAAACATTGTTTTTGATATAGGCCTTCTGTGCCTCAATTGTTTCTTGGAATTGATGGAGTCTGCTAGATGTTGGGTGTTCACCTCATATTTGAGTTCCCTTTTATTTTTAAAATTTGAACCTGAATACCAATTCTGAAATATATATATAGTACTACCGTAATACCTGAATGATACTTGATGTCAGGATTGTATCCTGTCAATTTGTTTTGATATTTTTGATATGTTGATAAATCATTACCTTTGTACAGGGTGTGTTCTACATTCAATTGGGTCACTTCTGGTGTTGATGTGAAAGTCTGCTGGCTCGTAAAAAGTACAACAGGCTACCATACAATCAAAGATTGTGGCTGATGCATTGCATTCTTTGAGCACCTGATTGCTATCATTAATTGATGCTCCAGATGCGTTACTGAATGCTTCAAACATTTTTCTCTGGTCATCTTCTTCATTCTGGGGCATTGCCATAAAGAATCATTCAATGTATTTCAAGCACATGGCTGGCAAATGGCTTCTTCAAAGGTGGCATAGTCAGTGCCGAATTCGACTTGAACATACCTGTGATATCCTGTGATAAACTTCCACGGTATATGTTCAGCATTCCTTAAGGTTGTGTCCTCTGGTTCGTGGTCATTGTATATGATGATGCCATCAACATACGTATCCATATCGAAATTACATAATCAACACAGTAATGAATCGGACATCTTGCTTCGTGGGGAGATAGACACAAGGTTGTTTCATCTCAAATGAATAGGATTAATCTGGATTAATACTGCAAATGCCTGACAATCGAAGGACAAATAGAAAAACAATGATTTTGACACTACTTTGAGTTCAGCTTTGGACTAGTGTGGAAATCGTTCTTTTGTTATTTTCTGTTCGGTTTTTGGCCTTTATGTACTTCAACAGCATTGATATGGTTGGTATGGGGGTTGTTGTGAGTGCTGTTCTTTTTTTTCTTTCCGTTTTTGGGTGTACTTCAACAGCATTGCCGTCAAATAAGTCGGAAATATGGTTGGTTGGGGCTTGTTGTGAGCGCGCAATATCAATCAACCAAAGATATCCCAATATCGTTCAACGGAAGCGATTTTGCGCAACTCACAACAAGCCTTTTTGTAAACAAAAGGGGTCCGCTCTAAATGAGAGCTGCGAAGAAGCTTGCAATCACTGGAGGAAGGTAACTCTGATTGCCACCCTCCCTCCGAGCTACACCTGGGCTGATCTTGTCGCAAGTGGCTGCACCTGACTGACAAGTGGATATTGTGATGAGTTGTGGCTGTAACCTACTAGCAAAAGGAACCCAATAGCAATGGCCTCCTACCTACTAGCGATGGCCTCCAACCTAATAGGAATGGCCTCCAACCTGGTAACCTAGAAGCAATGGCCTCCAACCTATATAATAGCAAAAGGAACCGTGGATATTGTGCTGAGTTGAAGAAATCGTCTGAAACAGTTTACAACAAACGGCCAGCATAGTTTTAGTCACTCTGCACATGTTCATCTGCACTCGTGTTGCATGGCACAAGCGCAAAGGACAAATATCAAGTTTCATCGTCTTGGGGCCCGCACATGCTCCACTCTTTCTTCTTCCTTCGCGCGATGCTGTATCCCTAGGTCCTGGGCCAGCTCTTGTTCCCTCCGGCACGATCTCAACTTGATTGCAAAAATAAAAGCACAACGGTCCTCCTCTGGATCCTCTATCTTGAAGGGCTGCACCTGCATCAAATTGACTTCAACGCCTTCTGCGAGTGTTTGTACAAATGCCTCGTCAGCTGGTGACTGGGGCACAGTCCTGCGGTGAAATCGAAACCAGTGTCTAGCAACACTCTCAACAACACAATTGATTAGCACAATGCAACTACAATATAATATAGATGTTACAGTGAGCTGCATCACCACTGGTCACTACAACTTATTAAAGCATAAGTGATTACCTGCAATGTCCTGCTTGAGAGCTCATTCTCCAATCTCCGCTCTCTGGGACCTCTTTCCTTGGAACAAAGAGGTATTTACTGTAGGCTCCTTTAAGCCTTTAATCTACAAAAGGCCCAGCGGCCTATCGCAGAGACCCAAACACTGTCCCGTTTCTTCTTTTATTATCTTCTATCCTCATGCCTGTATACTGTATACTCTTTTTGCTACATTTTGCTACCTTTGTATCATTTTGTATCTTTGCATCGACCAACACCTGCTCTGAGTGTATCTGCTGTTGGGGCAGGGCCGTCCGGTGGTGTTATTGCTCTCACCGTGCCATTGTCAGCGTTGGTAGCTGAATCTCCTTCGGTATCAAACAGCGCAATCTTAAGATTGGAAGACCAAGCCCAAATGCAAAACCATGCAAAATCAGCTTGGACTTAACTTCTGATGAATGATGCGGCCCTATCATGGCTATGACACAGCTGCCCCGAAGGCTCTGCCTTTGAGTGCCTCTTGAGACTGAGCATTTGGATCCGAAGCCAAGGATCTAATGCCTGGCAAAGCATCACACCACTGGCTGCAGAAGCTCTAAAATGATGCTTGAAGCACCCAATGGATTCTCAACAAGCTCATGACCTCCGACTTCTGGTGAAGCTCGCTTCTCAAAGGGATCTTCCGCTTGCACAGCACCTGCGGCTCCAGAACGGAACTGAACCTTCGGAAGCCCTTTCCCCTTTCAATGAAACGCTCTTTTGACTTGAAAACTGCATTGTCGCAGAGGCACCTCGCGAACTGGCAGTGGGAACAAAGAAGTCCTCCAATGGGTCCTGATGAATTTGTTCACTCCTCCGTTTTGCTGCGATTGTGCTTCGAAGGTCTAGCAGCCTTGCATCTGAAATCGTGTGTAACAGCTGCAAAGTTATGCAAAGTCTTGAAGTCTTGGAATCACCGTTTGTGATGCCTCAAAAGACGATTGTGGAGCTCGAGCACGACCCGGCCGTGGCATTGGACCCCTGTGCCTGCAGAAAACAGCCAACAGCTATGGGTTCTCTTCTTGTCCAACTGAAGCACCAAGCCTCGGCAGCCGCCTGAAGCGGAGTGGCAAAAAGGTGGACACGTCTTGTTTTTTGTTCCAATTGCCGCAAATGAAGTGCGTCACAAATTGAGGTCGAGTTCCAAGTTCCAAGCCTCCTGATCGTAATTTTGATCAAAGAGCGACTACTCGTAGGCATTGGGAAATGGGCTGCGTTCAGTTCTTAGCTTCAAGAAAAAGTGCAAAGCATCGCACAATGCATGTGTCACTTGTACATGTCGCATGCTCATTTCGAGTGCAAGCAGATGGCTCAGCGGAAAGATGAAGTACAATCAATCCCGCCTTTTCTGTTCTTTTTGCAATGTTTGGCCCCAAGCCTTGTCCTCCCACCATCAAAATTGAAATGCGTGAAAGATGGTGAAAGTGGCACCAGTGCAGCACTGGCACTCTGAGATTTTGAGCAATCTTGTGAAACCATTTTGTGGTCTGCTCACTTTGGACTCCACATTCCCAGCCGTGTATTGAAGAGCACGCGCAAGGTCTTCTGTAGATGCGTGTGGTATCGCCTGTCACGCCGCTTTGCACCTTCTGAGATGAGCACAGCCAAAAATGGCCAAAGGAACATGTAGCCCAGCCAGTACTGCCATGAAGGTAGCAGTACTTCGGACAAATCCTGCTTGCACTCGAAATATACTATGCACGCACTTATGGCAGCATGAAGCACCAAACCCAGGATTGCAACAGTGTACAGAACCTTGTTGCTGGCAGGACCACGCGTGACCAAGGAATCGTATCTGTCCAAGAATGTGAATGACAGAACAACTTGGTAAATGACAAAGAGCAAGGCGCACCATTGCTGTGCATGGGACACTGCGCATCGACCCTCATCGCTTCCTGTGCTCCATGGAGACCAGGGTGGCCTGTTTGGTGCTTCAATTTGGTGCAGTTCCCGGACACAGGGCACCCATTGGCCTGTAAGCCAAAAATGCCAACTAAAGCCCTCACAAGCCTTCTCCAAAATGGGAGTTTTTCGGTCACTGTGCATAATTCGCCCCAAGCGCCAGGAAAACACCCGATGCAAGTCATGGATGAAGGCGACAACCACCACCAACGCTGAAGGCACAGATCTTAGGGCATACAGCAGCATGAGGCGGCCAGGTTGGGCCAATGTCTTTTCATCAGCCTTTTTTAACGGTAGCTCCTTCATGATTTGTGGGGAGGCTGCATTGAAGAGCAAGCCTGTGGAAAGTGCCGGCAAAAAAAGCAATAGCAAAGCCATGACATGAAAGCCTTCCAGTGGTGCTGGTAGACACAGAAGGGCTTGCAACCCAACCACAACGGCAAGCTCTACAGCACCACAAAGGTAATGAATCAAGACCATCAGAATGCAATCAACGCAGCGGCGTGCTTCTTTGATGGCATTGAAGAGCACTTCAAGTGTGCGTTGTTCACCATTGGAGAAGGAATGTCTGGCTTGCAGTGCGCAAGGAAGTGAAGTCAAATCTGCGGACAGCTGAAATTCAGCACGATTAACCATATTGTTCACTAAAAGGTCATCAGGACCTCGATCACTAGCACTCTGCTGTCGCGGAGCTCTGCGTCCAAAGCACCGCCGGCACTGTGGCACGGAATTCACCAAGACAGACACCGACAGGCTGGCCTGGCGGAAGATCTCAAAGTTGGGCCTCAAAGCTGAGCCTACGCATGTTACACACTCTGCATGCTCCTGCATGATGCTGATCATCTGTTGTGCCCTCCATGGAGTTGCTTTGGAGTACAAGGACACCAAGAGTGGGACGTTGTCCACCTCCTTTGTGTGTCGCCGGATCTTCGAAATACCCGAGGGTAACACGACCTGACCCATCATGTTCTTCACGACTTTGGCAGAAGGCTCCAGATTTATCAGGCAGTTCCAGCCTGTCTCCAATCCAAGCTGTGAACCGAGGGTTCTGGTACGCTTCTCCCCTTCAGCAGAGTAGACTTGGAAGCGAATACCTGCCGTCTGAAGGGCCTCAGCGTAGGAAGGCATTCGGACTGATGCACAAAGCTTCACCCCAGCCATGCCCAACAAAACTTGTGCACCTTGAAGCTCCTTCCATGCTTGAGCTAGTCGCGCAGCCCCAGTGGACACACCCTCTCCTTTTCCAGCCTGGGCTACCGTGTACTCTCCATCTTCACCTTCGGTAGCACAAAAAAAGGTGTTCTTGTCAAGCTGCGTAGGGATATCACGCTCAGCTGGTGAAGTGAGAGGCCGGAATGAATAAGCCAAAGCCGTCAAACCAGAAGCTTTCCACTGCAACACGAGCCGGGTCAAGCAATGTCTGTCTTCTTCATGGAGTGGTAGTACCTCATGACCATCGAAATAATGCGTGCAACGAGGCAACAAACGCTTCGGCTTGCCCTTGCAAAACATCTGGTACGATCCATCACGAGGATCTTCCACAAACCAGGTCAGGAGTGTCTGTGAAAAATTTGTGTGCCCTCCTGGTGCAGAACTGTGGCCAGAATCATCCTCAGGAGACTCAAGACCACAAGCATTGCTGAACTGTGGCATTGCCTCCTCCCTGTCCAAAGGCGAAGGCATCGCTTCACTGGGAACGTCACTTTGAGGAGATGGAGCAGCACGCCATGCCATGTGAGGTTGAGCATGGGTCGCAACAGTGTTGGGCGACGCTTCTGCAATTCTCTGTTCAGGTGGGATTGATGCTTCAGAGCGTTGCTTCGGTGGAGCTTGCAGCTTCAAGGGTCGACAAAGCTCCATGCAAAACTTCACATCGGTAAATCCAGCAACCACATCTTCCCGGAAACCGATCAGCTGGGACATAGTGCATGTGCAGTCGTGCATGGCGGCCGAGGTGCCACGATGCATCGCTTGCAACAAATCCCCTGCCATGAGGTCAAAAAGCATAGGCCCCTCTTTCTGAGAGAAAAGCTCTCGGGGCTGTCGTGACACAGCCATGCTCAAGCACAAGGGCTTCAAACTTGACAAATGCTGACGCCAATCTGCCTCTTCAAACCGCAAGCCACTTGGGGCATGATGGTCCGATTGCACATCTAATACCACTGTAGTGAAGTTAGATTCTTCCATCACTTCCTCCTCTTTGGATTCTTCTCTGTCTGGGCTTGGCTGAGACTCATCCGGCGTCTTCTTGCTAGGGCTGCGTCCACTGCGATAGCTGTGGCTTCGTTGATGCTCCTCATTCCCAGCTTCAGAAGCTGGCACACTGTGAGTGCCCGCATCACTGAACACGCTGTTCTTCCTTTGTCGCTTGGAACCGCACAGGCACAGCTCCGCCACTGTAGTGCAGGTATCCGTGAGAAGGCCCTCCCGATCACAAAAACATACCACGGTAGTTGAATTCAAGGTGTGCATTAGGTTCGCATGTCCTTCAAGACCTTGCCACAGGATGCCAAACAGCTCCTTTAGCTGCCACTGCAGTGGCACCCTGGATGCGTCGATCTCACCACTGAGGCTCTGCTCGTCGCTTTTCTCAAGTTCCTTATCCTCGTCACTGAGACCAGCATGCCACTGAAACAGTGATTGAATGCGTGCATTGCCCCAAATGTCCGTGACTTGCAGCAAAATTGCAGGCAGCAGCGGCAGCAAGCAAAGGATCACCCGCAATGGCAGCAGGAAGCGCTGCAAGTGCCACTGCAAGCTTTGCTCCTTTACAGCCGGCTGCAGCAGCCAAAGGCCGCATGCGCATGTACTGGAGACAAAGGCAACCATGGATATCTTCTTCAATCTGTCTCTGACTAATGCAGCGACCTCGAAGAACACTGTGTCCGTCCGGCCTTCTCTCTGGGCAGATTGTAGAAACTTGCGAACCATCGGAACGCATGCAGTACTTCTGGCACGAAAGGAGGCCACAGCCGGAACCTCAGCCGCGCGAGCTCCAAATGCCTCGGCAGGCTGCGAGGCAGGTTGCACCAGCTGTGGGGCAGGTGCAAACACCTCTCGGGCACGGAACATCTGCCCTGAAGGAATGGCACCATAAGGCAGTCGGACTGCCAAGCGCTCTGCATGGCACGGGAAGGTCTCACCCTCTCGAAGCTTGAAGACATCACCCTCAACCACCATGTTGTAGGGCAGCTGTCGCCAAACACGATCTCGAAGGACACTGACGCACAAAGCACTTGGAGGCACAGCTTCCTGGTGTGTCAGGTCACTCGCAGTGGTAAAAGCATCATCGCTGGAGACGAAACGTTGAATGCAGTCTTGCACTTTGGCAATGGCCCGTAGCTGCTCAGCACGGGGCAATCTGAAAGAAATGTACCATGCCAAGAAATGGAATGGCAGGATCAGAAGCACCTCACCTATCAGGTACATGTCACCGGTCAGCGCTGCAGCCACAATATAGAAAAGCACCACTAGTGGAACGATGGCACCTTCCTGTGATTGTATGAAGCTTAGCCTGGACCTCCAGGTCACTGCCTTCACCAAAACCAGGAATTCTCCCACAATTTCTTCCAATTGCTCTATAAGCCTCTCGTTTGCGACTGTGGTAGACAAGCCAACCAAGCCTGTAAAATCGCCACTCGAAGAACTTGCCATCCCGGTGGTCGCAGGGGCTTCTGGTGGAAGTAGTGGCCAAAACCCTTGTCCAACTTGTCCCTCAGAGTTCTCTTTGATCATGCCATAGTAAAGTTCTTTGCATGTTCCATGGCGGATTGTGGAGGTGTGCAGGACGTGTCCCCCACCACTAGTTCATCAAATTTTTGTCAATTCTTCTCTGTGGAATGCCCATGAATGCCCAAACTCAGTGAATGATTATGGGCATGTGGATGCTTGGGTGTCTTCGTAGCTGGAGATGAAATATGCAATGCAAACTGCGGTGAGAATAAAAACAAACAGCTCTTCTCAACATTATATAGTGCCCAATTAAAAGAAAAAGTCAACTGTGTATCCAGGAGTTTTGCAATGGATACTTTAGACCGGACTCCCTTAAGTAGAAGTCGCGGTCATGAATGACAAGCTCATGAGGTCGCTTTGAACGTGCGAATTCCACTATTCTTGGAAACTGCTTCAATATGTAAGTCCACAGCTTCAAATGGTTGGGCCATTGCTCGTCTTCAAGTCTGCCTTCTCTCTCATTGCATGGGTTTCGTGTCAGAACCGTTTTTTTGCATCTACTGCACTGGTGGTTGCCCGGGCTTCTCCCGCCGCAAAACCTCAGAATTGAACGTTTCCCAATCTGCAGTCAAGTCATTTGGCATAGAACCATTGTTGCGGTTTATGCACATTAGTGCCAGTATGGTCGGATTCAGATTAACCACAGTCTCTTTGCGGAACGCGCCACCTTTGGCCGGAATGAGAGCACCCAATCACAACTGGCCTTCCCATAGAGTATTCCTCAGATTTGGCAAGGTTTACTTGTGTCTCCTGCTAAAGGGGGTGGAAGCAAGCACAGGAGATTCCGCTCACCAACCGGTGCACCACAAAATTTGTGTGGATTCTAGTGTAGCCTTCGAGTCAGAGGTCAAAACCAACAATTGTTCTTTAAAAAAACTGGTCTGCGGGTCGAATCCGATTGCGCATGGTGCATGAACGACCTTTTAGATTCAGGCAAATTCCCTTTTCTTTTGATGTTGGGGACCGAGCAAAGGAAAGAACATGAAAGAACCCTGTGATACCCACTGCAATGACAATGAATGATGCCTAATTGATTGGTCAGGGGCGGTAGGCATGCAGCAAAAGAGATGTATTCTTGTAGCCGTGGAAGCCTTGCCCAAGAAACTTGCACAATTGAATTGATTCAGCACTTGCAAAGGTTTTGGAGCCCAGCCTATTGCATAGGGAGAAACCCAGTAGTCTGCCACAGCTACTTCCGGCTCACACATTAAATAACGATGAAGCTCCGGCATGAAGCCATATATGTCGCAAAGGGCATTGGCTACCCTCCTGCGGAGGTTGACATGCAAGCAAAACCCAAACAAGTTCATCTTCAAGCTGGTAAGTGTTACTAGCCTTGGTCCCTGCCAAGTCACGGCAAACGTGAGCCCTCCATGTGAGGGCTTCGCAATTGCGGCAATTGGCGGCTGTTGAGATGCTCTTGACCTCGTCATGTGTACACACTTCACAGAACACAATGTATGACTCCATATTACTTCTAGCAGCTAACAGGCGAGCCCGCATAGCTAGCGTCCTGATTCACCAATCCGCTGCCTGCAAACCTGTTCATCGTAACGACATGTAACCACCATTGGAGGGCCTTTAGGGATCTTTTATATTCATTGTCATCGGGACACAAGGCAAGGGCTCCGTTGCAAAGTAGTAGCGGCCCAACTCATCTTCCACTGCCGGATGCGCGGTCACATTAGAAGCTACCATGCAGCGGCCAAGCATGATGTCCCACCTTGGCATTTTTGGAAACCTACTTTGCAAGAACGGTCTTGAACACGACTACTCCGAACAAAAAGTGTTTTTTGATAGGGGGTGGCCTAAGGGCCCCCCCTCTCACAGCCCCCCTGGAACAATAAAAGTATTATTCTGACCACCATCCAGGTAAGTTCTGAATATTATCCCACTACGTCATTCACATTGAGGAATAATTTTCAGACTGCTGTACCTGACACATCCATCAAGGCTTCAAAAATCAAGCCACATGAGAGACAGCAGATTCGGCAAACTTTTCTCCACCCCATCGCACGCCATGCACACAACACACACCCAGTTCTGGAAAAGACCAGAACTGGCAACACGCACAAAAATCCTATTTAGCCAGTGTCGGATTTTAATAGCCGACGCTGGAAGTAATACACACAACACACACACACACCCAATTCTGGAAAAGACCAGAACTGGCAACACACAAAAAAATCCTATTTAGCCAGTGTCCGATTTTAATAGCCGACGCTGGAAGTAATACACACAACACACACGCCCAGTTCTGGAAAAGACCAGAAGTGGCAACACACAAAAAAATCCTATTTAGCCAGTGTCGGATTTTAATAGCCGACGCTGGAAGTAATACACGCAACACACACTCAGTTCTGGAAAAGACCAGAACTGGCAACACACACAAAAATCCTATTTAGTCCTATTTAGCCAGTGTCGGAATTGAATAGCCGACGCTGGAAGTTGAGCCCAACGATTCCTAAAGAAACAGAAGATGAGTTGCACCTTTCGGCGCTATTTTACACCTTTCGGCGAACTAGTTACAAGTAGTGTTTCTTTGTGATTTTGTGGGCTGGGCGTGCCCAAGCTAAGGCCCATGAACGCCAGCAGGACGAAGATGCTAATTCCTGAGTCTCCTTAGTTCTTTCCTTAGTTTTTCTGGTGATCACAACCCTTTAGAAAATCTATACATTCTGTAGTTGAGGGTATGCAAATTGAGGGTGGCTTGCAAAATTATTCCTAAATTATTCTGAATTCCAGGGTGGTACCTTAAGCCACTACCTCTATCTTAAATATTATTCCATCGAAATTATTCCAACAAAATTATTCCAGTAGGTCAGATGACCCCTGGAATAATTAATTAGGCCAGCCCCTATGTTTTTTGTACCAGAAGACTTCCAAACTTAAAAATATCCAAACTGAACGAAGCCAAAGCAGTGTGCGTTGGAATGCAGTGCCTCTAAAATTTGCCAACTGTCAGGCTCAAGTACCAATGTCCAGCAACAAAGCCACACCCATGTACACGGGCTGCTGTTTCGCGCGAAGCTGACACTACTTGAGGAGCCCAAAACATGACCTTGCTGCTCAAAGGTGTCTGAGACATTCTTAAAATTCGATGAATTTCTGGCACTGCAATCTGAGATTGACATGTTCATGCAGCAATTGAAGTCATTATTCTGATATCCTGCCAACAAAGTTGAGGGATAAGTTAGCTCAAATGCAAAAAAGATTCTCGCTTCGGATGCTCGTATCTCACTGCATCCATTTTCTGCCTCGCAAAGCTGTGGTGAGATTCGGTGAGATACAGTACCATCTGCAACTCAACCGAAATACCTGCAAATGAACATTCCCTGCATGTCGTTGTTGCCAAATATTGCCAAATTATGACTCACCCATCCACGCTACAGCTCCAGGTGTTGCGACAATCGTCGCAAAGCTTCTTGTGTGAGACAAACTCCACCAGCAGTATGCGGGAATATTCCCACTTGAAGCTTCATGCCTTGGTGCTAATTCTCTGCTCCATCTTACGAAGCTTGGTGGGGAAGTTAACGGCTGTTGATCATTGTTGCGGAATTAAAGCGCCAACATTCTCGTGACAAGTGGCCCAAATGAAGAGCAGCAACAAAGTGCGGCTCCTGATTTTAGCACTCCGCGAAAACATATGTAAGGATTATGCTGAACCTGTGGTCATATTTAGGGGAACACGCCTGTGGCGTAACATGTCATGCTGCATTATGGGCGTCGGGGCGTCGGCAGTAACCGATTCTGGCCTTGGAGGAACAAATCTTCAGTCCACGGTCACGGATGACCTCTGCCCTGCTTAAAGCAAAGAACATGGCTATGCATGACCTTATGTCATGGTGGTTTGTAAGGCTACGATTCCCGTGCAAAACTCCATATGAGGTACGGTCAAGATTAATTATGCGCGGCTGTTTTGTACTTAGATTTGTGAGTCCCCTATTGTTTTCGCATGTTTTGGAACCGTGTTAAGTATCGTTCGCCAGGGTTTGGAGCATCCCCGCATAGTAATCCAACGCTCCTGTGCAATCGTAGTCGTCGCAAATGTTGAAGGCACTTCATTTCATGCTACCAGTAGTATTGCCACCGGCGTATCATTAAAATAACATATTACATCATATTACGATATATTACGATATATTTCATATATGGCATTGATGTATATTGAAATCATAATGCAAAGATTTGCGGAGGCCCTGGTGCGTCCTTTCTGTCTTTCTAACGGCTGCACGTCAGGTCCACGTCATGCCTGCCCACCTAAAGTAAAATTGTTTTGGGTGCTCAATTGTGCTCAAGTTTGGCCCATACTACCTACGGTGTACGTTTCTGATGTTGTGCCCCCCATCAATCAAGACGTCCTTGGCATGGAGGCCTTGTACTCGCGCGAAGGCCCGAAGATTGTCGGCAATGAACGCCTCACAAATTTTATCACAAGTGATGGACATGTGTTACACAGTTTTTGACATACCAAGTTCATCAAAACTGGCTTTGCTGTGGCTGTCTGGTTCCTTTCATTGAAGCCGGCCCCCACTGATGGCACAACATTGAGCTGAGGAGCACTATCAAGTTCCAGCCAGCAAAACAGCTCTGCTTGGTCCAAATGGTGGCGACCAACATGGACAGCCATAAGGAGGCTTTTCTGGATGGTGTTGCCTGCACTGAAATTAAGTAAGTTGCAAAATGTGCCACGCGCCCTGGGCCACAGGCATGGTAATACAGTGTAGTGCAGTGTGACTCAACAAACTCGGGTTGGCATACGTGCACACCTTGAAACTATATGATACTACATGATTTTTTGGTTCAGCTGAAAACGGAATGTGGTGCCACGTACCACACCAAGAAGTGCGAACAATAGGCAAGGATGCTACCCAAAGGTTAACGCGATCGCCTGCCACTTCACCATGAAACTTTCAGCACAACAGTTGATAAAAACCTTTTCAGTTCCACATTCCCACGGGCGCAGCTCCCAAGAACAGCGTTACTGTTATAGTTATATGATGTATATGGTGGTTGATCAATATTCTTTCATCCTGGAATGGCAGCTCTTTGCGGAAAAATGCTGTACTTCACTTCGGGCGACCCCCACCATGACATTTCAATCTGACAAACGGTCTGGCATGTCTTGAAACATTATTTCGTATTATTTCGGCATTATTTCTGGCATATCTTCCGACATTATTGTTGACATTTTTCTGCTATATTTTCTGTGGTTCTTTGTGGCACATCTTCTGACATTCTTTCATCTCACATTCTTTTTGGCATTGTTTCCGGCATATCTTCGACATTCTTTCTGGCATATCTGCTAACTAACATTCTTTCTGGCATATCTTCTGACATTTTTCTAGCGTATCTTCTGACTCTCTCTGGCATATCTTCTGGCATTCTTTCTGGCATCTCTTTTGACATCTTTTGACATTTTCTCCGGCACATCTTGTGCATATCTTCTGGCATTCTATCCTGCATATCTTCTGACTCGCGGTTGAGGTCCGGCCATCCGGAGCCGGCGGTTGAGGTCCGGCAGGGAACACTGCCATCCGGAGCTCGCAGTTGAGGAGGCCAAGGAAAGGAGTGGAGGAGGAGGCAAAGGAGGAGGAGGAGGAGCAAGGCAGCTGACATAAAATCTAACAACCTTCACCTGACAGGTGGGGAAATCTTTCCCGGCCTCATTGTGAAGCATGGTCCTACAACCATGTCTAGCTATTATGAGTTTTCACAGCTTCCCAGGGTCACTTGCAGCATCTGTGCGACAAACGGTACCCCCAGTCCTGGCTGAGGCTTAGAGTAGACATATGAACAGACTCAGGCACAACTCAACCCAATCCTCGTGCCAGCTACCTAACACAGGGTGATGCAGCTGGGGGGAATGTTGGGGGGCCTCAAGCTGGGAACCTGAACCTGGGCTTTAGCCGCACATTCGCGAAACTTTCGCGGATCTTTCACGAAATTTCACTGGTGATTTTCCCGGGAAGGCATAGCATTTGCAAACATCTGCGCAGCCCGTCAGAGCAGCTGCACGTCTGGCAAAGAAAAGTTGAGGCTTTGTGATAATGGGGGCATGCGGGGAAACTTCCGCCCACCAGCTCTGCCGGAGGATTACCTTGTATTTCTACCATTTGCGGTCGGTAGTAGGGAAAACACGTGTAAGCGAAGACCTTCCATAAATCGTGCGCGGAAAAATGACTTCGCGAACCTCATCGCGAATCTTTCGCGGATGGTTTTAACAACATCTGAAAGGATGTTTGACATAAAACTCCTTACACGGGGTTTTAGATCAACTCCCTTAATATAGTGAACCATAGTCGACCTGTTTGCATGGAACTAGGTGCATTCGCTCTAAGTCGACCCATGCGGTTTAAGTCAACTCTGATGTTTCAAAACACAATGCGCACACTACTGACTGGGAGGACATCGATTCAACAACTTGCAAATCATTCGCACACTGCACGCACATGTTCAAAAATCAATGACGTGGACTTGGACTCACTTTGCATCATCTTGAGATTACAGCACCTTTGGTGTCTGTCGGCTTTTCTATATATGAGAACTCTCTACGTATCCTATAGCCTACCACGTGAGGTCCGCACGACCCTGCCCGAGGTCCGCGCGACCAAGCAGAATACAACTGCACAGAACCAGTGTCCAAATAAGCAAACTGTGAGTTACACGCAGTGATTCGTAGAGATTAAACACCCAACAATTTGCAACGCACCCAAACATGGGCACAACTACAAAACTAAATCCTTTCAAGAATCACATCAAAAGAACTCATGGGCACACCGATCCGAGACGACTTAGAACAACCCGAGGCGACATACAGCCGGAACGTGTATCATGGGACTTTGGCCATGTCCCCAATGCCAGCATACCTGGGGTATTGAAAAAAACCCGTGCCTTGTGCAATACCTCGAAATCATCTCGAAATCATCTGTTTTCTTGTTAGTCGTCCCCACGAGTTCACCAGATAGAAACGAGAGGGGGGGAGCAGTTTTTTTTGGCGGGGCAAAAAGAAGGCAAAAGGTGGGCTGATGAAATAACCCCGCGTTCAGCAGTTTAGTATTGGCCTGCACCTTAACACTACTAATGCATTGCTGGCCCAGAAAACGGTAAGAGTAAAAGAAGAACGATAACGAGCTTATACATGTACATGTTCATGAACCCTGAAGATGGCAACCTGCACACGCCTCCAAAACGATAACAAACGATAACGAAATATGACAAAAATGCGAGCGCTTGGGAGGATACCCATTTGAGCATATCGCCTTTAGAAGGAAATTGAGAGGAAATTAATGCAACATGAAAGGAACCGATGACATTTGTTGACCTTCGACCAAGGATGCTTTCAAGTGTAACAGAAAGCTGGAAAATTCAGATTTCTAGGGCGTTCGGCTTTGCCACCGTGTTGCCAGAATACAATCCTGGGAATCACGCATGCCGCCATGTCGACATTCCATGCAGACCTTTCAACATGTTAGTAATGGTTGCAAATACGTGCAAACTCGTGGCAAGCGTATCTATGAGTCAGCTTGATTCTACGAGCATAGGTGGTGCTGGTCAAATGCCATCGTCTAAGCAAGGCTTCACAAACGCCCATACGCAACGTGTCAAGTAAAACCATGTAAAACCGAATCACCTGAGTTGAAGTTGCTTCTGCTCATTGAGTATTGGTTCTCGATTCTGCTCTTTGTCCCCTCTTCACAAGCACGATTTTCAGTGTTGATACATGCCGCATGCCAATTCTCTTCAAGTCCTGCTTATTGTGTCTGGGCAGTGGTGTGCGGGTGAAGCTGGCAAACACCATTGGGTATGCTGCCGAGCTTCTTGTGCGAAACACATCTTTCACAGTGTCACCCTCCCATTGAGTCTGCATCCAGCTTTCATCCGTCTGCGCATCCGGAAAGAAACTGGCCAAATTGACCTCCGCTTCATGCAAGGAAGCTCGGATTGCCGCACATTTTGCAGCAAAAGGATAGTCTATGCCTTGACACCAACTGTCAAGGTAGGTAAAAATGTTTGAGTACGACAGCTGCGTCCTTGTGACCAAGACCAAAACAAACCATCCCTTGTCTTCTCCCTCCTCACGCTCAAGTAATGCTTCAATGGTGCAATTTCAAAGACTTGATGCCTTGCAGTGATGTGCCAGGATCTGCGTGGCTCCTAGCAGGAACTCACCAACATCCATGAGATTCGGTTCCCACTCAGTCCTTTTGCTTTTGCTCATTCACTTGAAGTTTACTTAGTCTACTTGTGCAAACCTTCCATGATTGAGTCCTTTGTGCGGCTGGGTGCGGCAAAAAACTTGGCCCAGTCGCAATGATATGCAAATGTGTCGGCCACTCCTCAAGCGGTGCAACGGTTAACCTTGGAAGCTCTGAATCACCCTGGATTACCATCTTTGCCAAAATCCTTATGCACGTGCATGTGCTGCCCAATAAGTGTCCCTTGTTTGGCGTCCTATAGCCGGCCTGTCGTGGTACTTTCGGAACTGCCCTAATTAGAGTGACGGATTTTCCTTTCGTGCCAACTACATGCGACCTCGAAAAAAATCAGATATCTTTTACATATGGCAAATTATGCATATGATAT